AGAGAGAGAGAGAGAGAGAGAGAGAGAGAGAGAGAGAGAGAGAGAGAGAGAGAGGGAGTCAATTTATAATCACATAACATCCACAAAGCCCACCTGAGAGCCACATGCCCCTCTGCAGATGAAAACTCAAGGCCCGCCTCCATCACTGCCTCTAATCAACCACTCTGCCATTTATATTCAGGATAATGACTACCTGCCCCCCAGGAAAACAACAAATAACGACTTCAATACACCTGGACGTCTATGTTGCTGGTGCATTCTGACCGTAATCGACAAGTCACCTGTGGTCTCATCAGAGCCGGCATCTGGCTACCCTCTTTCCCAGAATGCAACGCACGCCGATCACCAATGTATACAAGCTTTCTTTCCGGTTCGATACATTCATGGTGCATTGTGTTCAGGGGAAGACAGTAGTCCTTTACCCTTCATCTACCAAAAATAGTGATCATTGATGGGTTACACCCAAGGAAGTGCATTCACACCACAGCTGACAAAGCACTTCACAGGGTTCATACCGACATGCCTGCTGCGTTTCAGTGAACAGCGAAGGACTACTACTAAGGCTTTCTGGAACGAAACCACCCATTACTGCAACCAGATGCATCCAGGGAACTCCTGGCGTGAGAATGCCCTGTGCTGGGACAGTGATCGAATGCATATGGCCATGATGGATTGCTAGATACTTTTGTCAGACATCTGCTGATCAAAGGGTGGAGAACACATCCATTCCCAACCGATATAGTGACAAGATGAAAGAGGACAAACAGAAGAACACAGCACAGCAGAGAGACACACGTGCTTCCTCAATTTGCCTTGTGTGTTTCATCCTTTTGGGTCAGTCACCAGCTCCTAGTAGTTTGCTGGATGGTAGTGCTGGTGTGAGTATGGACCTGAGGGGTTACTTACCCTCTTCCCTTTGGGGGCTCATTCCACCTTTTCACCATTCTACACCGTGCCTCCTCAAGCTCCTCAATGCACCCGCCAATAATATCCACATTCTCCGGAACAAGCATTAACATTCCCCGCCTAACGTAGACGTCCTTGATGGAGATCTGCACAAGCCAAACACCCAAAGTAGTAAAAAAAAAGGGGGAAAGGAGGGTGGGGGTGGCGGGAAGGGGAAGGAATCAGGAATGGTGGCCGACAACAGAAAAGAAATGCAGTATTGCTTTTAAGGGGGGGGGGGGGACACGCAAAAACAAAAACAAACACCCTTATACGGAAGAGAAGAATAGGCTAAATATGAGAATTAACCCATCTTAAGCACACACAGGAGAACATAAGTAAGGCATCAAATAATAGAAAACGACAGGTAACCAAAGACTGATGTCAGCCATAGCAACAGTGGAGTCAGCATCACACATCCACCACACATGGGGTAGGTTTTTTTTCCCCCACCAGACATGGGGTAGGTGCTTTTTTTTTGGTTGTTTTTTTTGGGAGCCATTTCTAGACTGGTCCATCACCATCTTGAGTTGTGGTTGATAAATCTTTACGTCCATGGTATCGCACAATGTTTACTTCTTAATAATTTTTAACAATGGAATGCTCAGAGAAGCGAGATCGGAATGGCAAATAAAATCACCTTTCTATAACACCTACCACATTCGTTTTGAAATCAAGGATATGCTGGATGCCGCGCTGGATTAGTTTTTCTTTTCTTTTTTTTTCTTTTTAAAAAAGAGGCCCTTATGGCCCTGGCTGCTGGACTACTTGTTTACTTTTGAAAATTTCAATAGAATGAAGATCTGAACGGTGAATAAGGTCCTCTTTGTATATCCTAGCACCTCATGCAGCCAGACTGACAAGAGGCATTCCCTCAATAGTCTGATGCTAGTTTTCTAATACTGCCCCCTTACACCCTTCCCACCTGAAAACAAAAGTCTATTACTTCAAAAACATCGTAGTGGAGGAAGGGGAGAAAGAGGAGCAGACGAAGACAAAGACAAAGACAAAGACAAAGACAAAGACAAAGACAAAGACAAAGACAAAGACAGAGACAGACCAGGATGAAGACCAAGAAGACGACGAAGAAGAAGAAAGTACAAACAACTTTAACAAAGTTATTTACTGAGGAACAATCCAAGATTCGGGGCAACACTGTTGCAGGGGGCCAACAACCCTCCCACTGGTGACAGCCGACAAGTCAACCAGCTGGCTGGCGGCTAGTTCTGGCCCCATACAGGTCAGGCGTGGATGACGACCCGTGTAACTACTCTGTATATAACCATAGGCAGAGAGGGAGAAGAGAACCACCAACGAGGGGCTGTGACAGACTGTTTGGAATTTCACCGACCCGTATATACTGTTTGACGACATGTACATATGCTATCGTACGTACATACGACCTACCTTGATGCCCGAAGGTAGGAAGACTTTCAAGCTGTTAATCCGCCGATATTCTATGCCAAAAATGAGCTGTTTCCCATCTGTCATTGCCAGCTTCAAACAACGGTTAGGTCCACCACTTTCAGTTTCATATCGTTCCCTCGCTGGCACGCCAATGTCAGAGACTTCATTAACCTGATGAGAATCCAGCGTCACACAAGATATACATTAGAGTTAGTGCAAGAGACATGAGGAAAGCATGCAGGAAAAACTCCTATCAACCACCACAATTCCAGTCGCTCCAACAGAGTCTAGCATCCTATTGATAATTCAGGCAGAGGAAGGAGAACGAAAAGAGTGGATGGATACACGTTCATTCCGAAACTGTCGTGAATAAGAATGCTACTACATAGCTACATCATTTCAGCCAACATGCCGCAGGTGCTATCAGATGTGACCGTGCTCATGGAGTGGAGGCAGCTCAGGCAGGGTCTCTGTAGAGCTGCAGCTTGGAGACAGTCTTATCTGGAAAAAGTTGAACCACAAGTGACTTGTCATAGCAAATCCACGAAGAATTACAATTGAATATTAGAACTAAACAAACGAAGAATTACAATTGAATATTAGAACTAAACAAAAACAATAATGTTATATTGTTTTCATAAGTGTGGTTAGGAGTCTGGCCTCGAAGAGCATGCCAATTCGCTCACAAGAGATCAGAAGGTGGGCGGAGTAGAGGGGGAGGGGGGGGAGGAGGGGGGGGGAAGGGGGAGGGCAGGGGGCAGGGGGCACAGGGGGGCTGGCGAGTTTGAGGGGTTCGGTGTGAGGAACGGGCTAGGCTCCCCCAGCCCAAGCCTTTGCGTGGAGGCCACCAGAGGGGGGGGGGGGGGGGGGGGGGGGGGGTTATTACACCCACGAGTCAGATGCGAGCACTGAAACACAGTACGCAGCGAGGGTTCAGGGCGGGGGAAGGGGCTAGGCTCCCCAAAAGGCTTTGACTGGAGGCCAGGTTTCGTTGGGGTTGGTTACACCCCAACAGTCAGGAGGTGAGCACTCACTGTTGACAGCGCCCTTAAGCAGCTACAAGCAGATGAGCTCCCTTACATATATGCAACTTGATCAAGGTAAGTCGTACCCACCCACTAACGTGAGGGTTGTTAAGGCAAGGACTGAACCAAGACTTGGTTAAACCACCAGTACAGGCCATACATCGGCCGCGGGCCTCTGAAACGCGACGCCCACCGCTGATCTATTTTATCGACGGTGCGCGAGCCTCCAAAATTTTTGGCAAGGCTCAATCGGCTGCTCAACTTGGCTGGGGCCATGTACTGGCACTTTAAGACAAGGACTGACCAAGAGTGGCGCAAGGTAAGGATTGACCAGCACCATAGCAGTTAACCAAAGTAGACCTTGACCACAGCAAAGCATTGACGAAATCAAGGTTTGACCGAAGCAATGGCTGAAAGAAACGAAAGGCAGGCAACAGCTGTGGCAGGAGCTGACCAAGGCAGGGGTCAACAGAGCAGGATAGCAGTCGACCAAGGCAACGAGGAACAACATTATCGTAGGCCCTCCACACTACTGTCTTACCCCAAACATCTGGACATGAAAAAGTGGTAATCATATCTGTATTCAACCCAACTTTCGGGCTAGATACAGCGATGATGGGTATGCCTTACACTTGGGTGAAGACAGTGGTAGAGGGGCCAATAAACAGGAATCGGCCCTTCGACTACTGCAAAATTCTTACCTATCACCATCCAGCTACGTAACACACTACAGGGGAATCGTGAGAGAGGGGGGGAAGGAATGGGAATCGCATCTCTACCCCATTTAAAGATGAGAATACCCGCTATACCCAGTCCTAGCGCTCACCTTGCATCCATACCTTGGAAATGGCCTGTGCACATTATTTGCATGCCTACGACCAAGGTGCGCCAGGACTGGTACTGCCAAATTGCAGCTATACCCAACTATCCGAATGCTCAAATTAATAATTATGCACATACACATAGGCAAATTATATACATACCCAGTTTTGCCTGCCCTGTTCCTGGGCATAAGCTTAATTTTTGCAACCAAGGGCCTGTGGGACCGGGTACACATATAATTTGGCACACGGGAAAAGTGGCGTATCAGCTTAAGTTGGGCAGGGTCTGGGTACAGATGCAAGTTGCGCCCTGGGACTCGGTATAGCAGGTATTCCCATCTTTAACTGGGGTACAGATGCAATTTTCCGTTTCTCTTTTTGACGGTGGAGTCCACAACCAACCAGCTAGGCTACACCCTAGAGTGGAATCTTGTGTAAATCGTAACCTACCACCCCAGCCAGGTATATACAAACTCCTGCCGCAGAGTCCCTTGCCTAAAAACATCCAGCAACGGTAAACAAAAAAATAGAACGACAAACAAAGGATATCCTGCAGAAGAATTGTCATCAACTGTCATCAACAGCACCTACTCAAATGGGCGAGGAAACAGAAAACAAAAACAAAAAAGAAGGGAAAGGTAGAGGAACCAATAGCCAATACACTTGATGATCTACCACACCACATTCTAGTCAGAACCGAGCCAGCAACCTTCCAACAGGAAAACAAAAAAAATGGGAGAGGAAAAAAGAAAAGAAAAAAACACAACCTTCTTCACTATCTAGAAGGGTGCAAAGGTCAGCGTTATGCTCAGGGCTTGGGCCTTAGGCTTTGGGAGTCGCCCTGGGGTTAAGGCTGAGAGTTAGGGCTCAGCGCTCGCTTTGGTTAAGGGTCACAGTTAAGGCTCAGGGCTGCAATGCAGTCCATCTGTGTATTCTAGAAAGCATCTCAGACAAACTCGTCATCACTTGCTCATCGCATTCACAGAACTTGAAAATATCAGAGGCCATACGACTCAGGGTTTAGAGCTTAGGCTTTTGAGCTTTAGACTTAGAATTCAGCATTTAGCAATTAGGTGTCCGCAATGTCAAGGGTTTGCATCCTCGACTTATGGCTTAGGGTTTAGAGTTATGGGTTTGGGCTTCGCTTTCAGCTTAGCCTTAGGGTTGTGGGTTCAGGCTTTTAGACATACAGTTACGGTGAAGGGTTTAAACCACCAGTACCTCCGAGCCTGTTTTTGACGACCCTGATTTTCACTGCGCTCCGAGTTTTGCCGAGCCTGGGTCCCACTCCATTTCTTTTTGGTACTCTCAYGGGAAGAACAAAAAAAAAAAAAAAAAAAGGAAGAAAAGTTGCGGCCGTGAAAACTCACAAAAAAAGAAAAAGAAACAAAGCTCTGGACGTGATTGCAGCTGTATACATTCTCGGACGTGTTAGTGTGAGTGTGCCCTCAGTGAGGGCATCTCAGCCCCGTGGCCAGGTTGTCAGATTCCAGAAACAAAAAAAAAAAAAAAGACAGGACCAGGGATTCGGCCGTGAAAATGGCAAGATACATTCCCGTAAGTGCCAATGTGATCAGGGTTACAATCCTCTGCGGGAACACAGCACGAGCAGATCACGGATTCAGATTGTCAGACTCCAGAAAAAGAAAACAAGAAAAAAAAAAACGAAAACACGGATTCGGCCTTGAAAACGGCTGGATACATCAGGGTGAGCCAGAGCAGATCACGGATTCCGCCCTGCCTCGTTGGCAGGGGGCACATAACAAACAAAAGAGAAAAAAAAAAAAAGAAAACAACAAGTTCAGAATGTGACCGTCTTTGTTGTAAGATGCATTCAACACTGTGAGCACAGCCTCCTAGACTACCCTGCCTGACATCATTGCAGTACAAAGACCTTTTTTTTTTCAATTTTCTTTCGTGCACGGGCAAAAGAAAAATATGATTTTTGGGACATCGTCCGACCCTGTGTCCGAAACCCGAAAAGTTCGGGTACTGGCCAGTATCACGTAATTTCCCAACATTGGGGAAGGTACTGGTGGTTTAAGGCCAGGGTTAAAGTCAGGGTTTAAGGTCAGGGTTTAAGGTCAGGGTTTAAGGTCAGGGTTTAAGGTCAGGGTTTAGCATTCAAGGTTCAAGGTCAGGGTAAAAGGTCAGGGTTAGGTTAGGGTTTAAGGTCAGGGTTTAGCTTTCAAGGTTCGAGGCTGAAGTAGAGTTTAGGGCCAGGGTTACTCGTTAGGGTCATTAGTTAGCATTCAGGGCTTGGCATGAAGGCTGTAGGGGTGTTGTCCTCGCTTACGTAGTTACCCACGTCAACTGACTTGAGGTTACACAACGTTTAGGACTCAGAAAATAAAGGTTCAGCAATTCAGGATTTCTCCATCAGGGTTTATACAATGGGGGTTGGAGGTTCTGGAACAAGGAGTTTTGTTCCCCAGTTATTTTAATACGAATCGTCGGTGAAAACTCCACATCCTTGGGGGCTGTCGTCACCAGGCAAGTCACATGCATCGACGGTTCGGCGGGAATAGGAGTGCAGCAAAGGTTCGCATCAGGAGGAAAAGAAGGCTCAGGCATACTCACAGTCTACAGAACTAAAGCATAAGGTTCCAGACTGGAGACCCAGAGCCAAGAAGGTAGGGTTTAGGGTTTACAACATAGGGTTTAAGGTTTGCAAGTCGGGCCTTACACTACAACTTTAGGGTTAAGTTCACAGGTTCAGCATATACAATTCAGGGTTTAGGGCTTACAAGACAAAGCTTAGGGCTTACAACTTCGGGTTCAGGGGTTACATCGGAGGGTTTAGGGTTTTCAACTTATGTTGTAGAGTCTCCAAACTCCGCGTCGGAGGTTTAGGGTTTGCAACTGGTGAGCAGGATTTGCAACTTCCAGTTTGGAGTTTGTGCCTTAGGGTTCAGGGTTTCCAACTCAGTGTTCGCAGTGTATGGTTCATACTTCAGTGTAGAATTTCACAACTTGGCATTTAAACCGCAACTTCAATTTAAGGTTTACAGCTTATGGATCAGGGTTCATAACATACGGTTTAGGATTTACAACTTAAGATTCAGTCTTTTTAACTTATGCTATAGGTCTTTCAGGTTCCAATTCACGGTTCAGCACCACTTGCGACCGTAGGGATTAGGGTTTATGATCTTGGGTGTAACCAGAAGTTTATCAGCAACGTCTGACAAATATATCTTAGAAAAACGACCCTGACAACGAAAGAAGAACGAAATGGATGCATTTTTTGGGACATCCGTTGAAATTGGAACGATACAGAGAAGATTAGCATCATGGCCCCTGTGCGAAGATAATACCCATAAATCGAGAAATGGTCCAAATTAATTTTTTTATTTTTATTTTTTTTTAAATGGATGTTTGGTTGGTTTATTGATCTGTGAACAACAAACAGGGACAGGTGCACAAGGGGAACATTCCACATCACCTGCACCACAAAAGTTCCTTGAAGCTTCTCTTTATGGAGAGACGCAACGCCAGGTGGCAAGCAACCAGCCGAAGAATCCTTCATGTCGCTAACGAGGAACAGCTCGCAGCAGAGCCCCACCTGGTCGCCACGTGGCAATCTAGGGAACTCTGGATTATTCCGCTTCAGGAAATCTAGTGAAGCAGTCAACCATTCCGCTTTAGGAAATAGACACCTGGCATTCATCATCCGCATGACCTCCTGAAAACTATCTTGTTGATGAGCCATTGAGCCGAGCAACAACGCGTTCACTTTTGCAAGACAAACTCTTGCAACTGCTCGCTACCACCTTGTCCAAAAAAAAACTTAGTCTAGTCCAAAACCAAAAGAACTTGTCTTATCCAAAACCAAACAGAACTTGTTTTATCAAAAATTGTCTTATCCAAAAGAACTTGTCTTATCCAAAACCAAAAACCAATGTGGATAGAGAAGGCATTATCCATGTGCACCGGATAACATAATATTTATTATTTACACATCATTGCTTGCCACGTGACCTCTTCCCTCGGTCCTCCATTTCCTCGCCGCAAAAGTGCCCACCGGATATATGCTCTCCTCTCCGTGGATGTATGCTCCCCTCTTGCAGCCAAAGCGCCAATAATTCTTTTATCACCCAAACTGGGAGAACCAGTACCTGTGATCAATATTCATTTAGGAGGAGAGTCAAAAAAATACTAATAATATAACAAGTAAAAGCCAGTGCGGCTACACCCCCGCACACATGGAAACATCAATGAGATATCCGGGGTCTGCATAAGTATACATCTACAGATCTCATGGTCTT